CAAGTATTTGTCTGTTAATGCTAGAGTGTTTTCATATTTATTTCATAATTGTGCATGCTTGATGCCATATGCTTTAATGCTGAGTCTGTGCATCAGTCTTTAAAAATGTTTGAGTTGTTTTTTTCCCACCCAAAATATCATGCAATATATTTCAGCTCATGACTTCTGCAAATGAGAAATACAACAAACACTACAAAAACTACAGCGTCATCCATTTAATAAAGAATTACTACATTGACATTTAACAGTGAATTACTTTCTATTTACTTTCTATTTTCTAACGTTAGACACAATGTTGATAGCTAACTCAGTCAATATGTTTGAGTCAGTCAGAGATAGCCAGACTAATGTTACACCGGCATATATGTGGATTTTCTTGGTTAGTTCATCCACTGACTGAAATTACCTGGGAAACATCTTCCCACAGCCGACAAACTGCTTGTTTCTGCATCCAAATGCTACACAGGTAGGCATTTTTACAGCGGGACTCAGCGCTGGTGTGGGGAGTACCAATATGGCAGCCGGTGGCTTAACTTTTTTCCGGCAATCAGCAATCCAGTGCATAAATAGAGGGCAGTGGGATGGATGGAGAGCAGCTCCGCCTGCAGGCAGAAAAGGTGTACTGAACCTTCAGATAATCGCAGAACATCTCAGGACACACTGTGACGTTCTTTCCCTTTTCCATCACAACCGGCCTTTACCTCTGCAGCAGCTGGAGCTACAGGAGCTTATGATTGGATCAGAGCCCTTCCGATGGATGCTGAAGGTTTGGGCGGTCCTGACCCGGCCCAGAGACCTCTTTTGGGACCATCAGCAGAGGAGATCTCTGAGGAATCTTCCCACAGGAACATCTGCAGCAGGTCCTGGGAGGCAGGAACGGTTCTGCTGGAGCGATCCAGCCACTCTACAGAGGACACTGCTGTATCCAGTATCTGGTTCTTCCAGGTCCGATCCATATGTCAGGACTACAGGAGTTGAGGTCAATCCAGATCTTCATCCTTCTGCTCTACCACAAACTGCAGCTCTAAGGCACTAAGGTCCTGGAGACTTACCCTGACCGTGATCCAGGCCCAACCAACCGGGACAAACAACCCGACAGCAAGTTCTGGACATAAATAAAGTTTATTGACAAAAACAAACATTTATTTGCTTGTTCAGAGAAAAACCAGTGATTAGAAACGAGTTGGTTCAGAGCTGCAGCTCACATGGAGAACTTGATGAGCTGGAATCCATCCAGGCATTGTACCTTGATGGGCTTCTGTATAAAACCTTGAACTCAACGCTAATTCTGACATTTTGAACTGAAAAAGCTTCCTGGATGGGAAGCTAAATGTCTTCAAACTTGGAAACAAAGTCCAGTGGATCGTTTTTTTTTTTTACTTTTTTTGGAATGACTATGACCTGGATGAATCGTAAATAGCATATTGGTCTCCATGCATGCAGAATCGGTTAGCACTAGCCCGTCCATCATGTACGTGAAAGATGTGTGAGGTTGGGATGAGGCTAATGATGGAGAAACTGGGTCCGATGCTGGATCCAAAGCCCCCTCAGCCCCAGCTGGTGGTTTAAGAGGGTCTCCCAGAGTTTTCACCGGTGTGGTTCTGTCAGCTCTACGTCATTAAATCACAGGTTCTACTCTGCCAACATAAACTGGACCTTCAGTAAACTGGACCGTATATTAGTATCCTAAGCACTTGTTATTGACAAGTACACAGCTGAAGATACTTTTACTGGTACTCTAAACCAAATGTTGTTGGTAGATCACTGGTTCTACTCAAAGTCCTTGTTTGGTCTGCACAGGCGGCACAGAGAAGACCTGGAGGAGGTCCGAGTCCAGCCTTAAGGCTGCTTCCAGTCATGCAGCCTTTAAATGACCAGCAGCTGTTGGACCTGGATATTCACCCTGACCTGGCGGGAAGTCTCCATCCATATGGGATCGTCTCTGCTTTACTCCCAGGTGCCGAAGGTGTGACGTCCTTAACGGGCCTGGACCTATTTACAGGTGTGCATGTCGTTCATGCTCTCGCACCGCCTGCAGCGGACGAAGCAGCACCAAACAAACTTGCACTCGCAGCGTTCAATGTTCCTCACCACGTGAGTGTTGTAGCCTCTGCCGCAGCAGAGCAGGTTACAGCCGTCCGGCCCGGAGGACGCCCTGTTGCAGCGGCGCCCCCTGGTGCCAGCGATGCCCCGCCGTTTGTCCTCCAGGCAGTAGTTCGGAGACTTGTTCAGGTAGATGAGTTGGTGTTTGTTGAGCGGACGGCGTTGGTCCTTTTTCCTTGTCTTCTTCCTGGAGCGGTTCGACATCTGGATGCTCTGCTCGTATCGCTCCTTCAGGTAGGAGCCGACGCGTCTGAACGGCGCCATTGACCTCCAACAGGTCTTCACGCCGCAGGAACCAGAAATGCCGTGACAGCGACACTCTGTGGACATGGTCCTCTCGATGGCCTGCAGGGAAAAACAATGACTCTGAGCTGAGAGATGGATCCAGGTCGGGCAACAGACTGCGAGCTGTCAGAACCAAACCCAAACTGGTTTAGAGGGTCTGGAAGGAGTTCTACCAACATCTACTCAGAAGTCGACTTCTTATCCTGAAGATTTTGGTCACTTTAAGTAAACTTGAACATTTGAAAACAGACTGTAAAATTTAGAAAATGTGGGATTTGAATTCTCAGGTCGTTAAGATCTTGACCCACTGTGGTGGAATAGAACCCTGCAGCTCCCTCTTCACTCTGACCAGTGTTCCCAGCAGAGAGGGAACCGACCTGTCAGGTCTACTTGGGTCAGGTCTATGATGTCCTCACCTGTCGGCCGGCTTCACTGTTGTGCTGGTTCATGGTGCTCAGCGTGTAACTGGTCAGGCTCGACATGTTCTTAACAGAGTGCTCCATGAACTTGCGGCTGAACCAGGTTCCGAACTGGATGTTGTCCGAGCAGCCCCCCCACTGCCATGCTTCGGATGCTGTCTCGCTCCCACCGCTGCCTCGCAGGTGAGCGTCACAGCCGCACACTGTCATGTTGCCCTGGCTGCAGGAGCGGGTGATGGAGTGAACCAGGCCTGCCGCCATCACGGCGTAGATGAACGCCGTCTCTTTGGTTCCTGTTGGGCGCAGAGAGAAACCTGCAGTGAAAAAACTTGCTTTGCATTATTAGCTGCTGACATGGACTTGGAGGGAGGGTTAGGGTCCATCCAACCCTTACAGTAGAACCTTTAACAACATGCAGTTCTTTTGTTTGGCCACTGGGGGGCAGACTGTGCTCAGTTTTCAGCCCCTCATCCTTTAGCAGTGGCCTTGATATTAAATGTTGTCCCTTTGTCAGAGCAGATCCTCTGAAACCCGACCTAACCAATGATCTCTATTTATTCAATGGATTTCTGATAGCCCATTGGTAGAACGGGGTGTAGTGACACCACCGGCAATCTAAACAATACGTGCACTACAGCATCAAACAACGATGATGTTCTCATTTTCAGGAGGACTTAAGACTTAAAATGAAGATAAATTCATCACTTTGACACACTGGCTGTTTGATAGCATCAGTAGATTACTTTAAGTTCACATTGCATAGTCAGGATGAAGTCTAGAAATCATCAATCAATATATATAGGGGTCAAATATTTGAGTTGCTTTTTTTCCGTTCGTGTAAGATGCAATATATTTCAGCACATTACTTTTTCAAATGAGAAATATAACAAACACTATAAAAATGGCAGCATTATGCACTTAATAAACAATAACTACATTGACATTTCAGTAAATTACTTTCTATTTACTCTACTCTCTATTTTGTGACGTTCGACATAATGTTGATGTCTAACTCAGTCAACGTCTTCGAGTTAGTCCAAGATAGCCAGACTAATGTTACGCTACACACTATACTATAGATACATTGGTGTATATGTGGATTTTCTTGTTTAGTTCATCCACTGACTGCGAAATTACCTGTGAAACATCTTCCCACAGCCGACTAACTGCTTGTTTTTCTGCAGCCAAATGCTTCACATGTAGGCCATTTAGTGGGGAGTACCAATATGGTAGACGTTGGTTTCACTTTTTTTGGCCAATCAGCAATCGAGTGAATATATAGAGATCAGTGGACCCAATCCCCCCCAAAAAACAGGGGGCATTCTGGGACTCTGAGTCTTTCTCAGGGACCCAAACAAACAATCTTGGTTTTAAAGCAGGAACGCCTGGTTCTCTGCACACCAACCCATCCGAAAAAAACAACCAAACTACCACAGAACATAGAGCAGCAGAACCACAGTCGGAGATACGAATCTGACCCTGCACTCTTTCCTGAAAACACAAAATCTGTTATTTCAGGACTGCAAGTTGGTTTAGAGAAGCTTTAACTGGTGAACTGATGGAGCATCACATGACTGGATTACAATGGGATATTAGGCTAATTTTAATCTGAAGTCAGATTCAAATAAATTTTTACCTGAAGTCATATTGAAATTAAATTTAAATCTGAACTTTAATCTAAACTTTAAAGTTAGAATAAAATTAGACTTTAATCTAAAATCTGATTCAAATTTGACTAATCTGAAGTCAGCAAAATTTTATTTCAATTTAAAGTAAGATTTAAATCAAATTTCAACTTTAAATGAGACACAAATTAAACAAGAATCTAAAATTAAAACAAACTTTAATCTGAATTCAGATTCAAATTAAACTTTGTCTTCAACATTCAATCAAGGACTAAATATCCTAAAGGTCCACATTGTTTGCAGTGTCATAAGTTCTGGTACCAAACTTACGGCTCTGGAAGCAGACCCACACATCCATTCAGAGGAAAAGTAAATGCATCCATTAACCAGGAGATGTAGAACCAACAGATTCTTCTCTTTTTTTAGCCTCTCTAGATCCGGTTCTGTGTTTTTGGGTCAAGGTTCTGTTAATGACCCAGTTTGGACCAAGCTTCAGCTGTTGGACAGATGAACTCACATTTCAGCCCGGAACATGCTGTCCTAAAGAGGAGCTGGGGCTCCACTTAGCGGCTGCCCAGATCCCCATTCCTCCACCACCGTGCTCGGCCAGGTGTGATGTTGGGTTTGGTTCTGTGCTGGTCACCAGTCAGCATAGGCGTTTTTAGACCATATTTGGGGGTGCTGACTATTAAATTGAATCAGAGCACCCCTAAAATATGGTTTGTTTTTTTTTTATATCGTATAAGCTTTTTAAATTGAAAAAAGTTAAACAAAAACATACTTAATATAGAACAGTCTAAAAAATATACAGTACTTGGATTATATATATATATATATATATATATATATATTTTTTTTTTTTTTTTTTTTTATTAAATGAAAATTGTGCCATTAATTTTCAATGAGGGTTCAATAAAAATAATAATAATAATAATAATAAACAAACAAGCAGGTAAACCAGCACGATGGAGCTCCTAAACAAAGATTCTGAGCAACACTTTGAGGGAATCACTGCAATCAGGTGTTTTCTTAAATATTCAGTCAGATTTCTGCCTCTTGTTTCTTGGTGAAATGTTCAGGAGCAAGGGGCTCTAATGTCTCTGGAACTGTTTTTTTAAAATCAATATTATTTTTAAAATCACAATTCATGAATATTTAAATCTATCAAATCATAATTTTGTATGTTTTTATTTATATGTATATATATTTTCAGTTTCTTGTTATTAGAATTACTGTTGTGATTTTATCCTTTTCTTTATAGGGAGTGTGTCTAAACTTTAAGCACAATCGTATATATTTACCTTGTTAAATACAATCCATTTTAGGATTGCCGGTTTACAAGGGTAAGGAGAGGAGCAAGGTGTAAGGTGAGGAAAGGCCAGGTAAGTTTTGGTACAGCCCGTCCAGGAAGACAAAAACATAGGAAGACAAAGCACAAAAGTCCCAGATATGATGTGTTGGTGAATGATAGAGTCAGTTATTGGCAAAAGGCACTGAGCACGTTTCAAAAATGTAGAAAGTGTCAGTAGAAAACAGTGAAATGTATCTTTTTCCGGGCGGCTCAGCACGCCCTAAACCTCTGATCCTAGAATGCTGCAGAATATTTTTTTTGTCGTATTGTCGTTTGTCATCAGATTACTGGAGGAGATCCTGGTCTGGTATGAACTACATTGGCCGCTCCAGCATTCCTATAAATATACTGGTGTGATAACTAAGTACATTTTTGATTGGTTTTTGCTATACGTCTATTTTAAATTTATAGCCCCTCCTGAAGAAAACTCCACCTGCTGCCACTGGCCGAGACGCTACCGTTTACCAGTAAAAAAATGAACATACAGCTCTGCCATCTTTCTGGCCATGATATACACATCATAGGATCATCACCATCACACCATCATAGGATGGGCCCAAACACAAATGATAAACACAGACATGTTTGTATGTTTTTTTGTTTTTTCTTTTACAGTTGCATATTTCAAGTTTTCAGTTTTCCAGTTCATGTTTGCTGACAGATATTTATCAAAGATAAATTGTGCCTTTATCAGTAGTAGATTAGAGATGTACAGTTAAGTTCACAAGTGGGCCATTTCAATTCAGTTTGGTTCAGGTAGATATTTAATGATGCAGAAAATAACATCTGATTGTACAATTTTTTATGACAATTCAGAATAATAAATAAGTGCTGTTAATTATTTTTTCACATGCTTGCATTAATCATCTGTTCCCGTGCTTTTTTTAAATAAATAATTGCTCCAAAATGTTTTTGCTTGCATGCAATGCGCGCTCACTTTTTTTTGGGGTGCCCTATTATGCCCCTTTATTGTAATGGGTCAGCTGACGCCTCTGCCTGCCTCCTTTATCCTGACAGGTAGGACTGATTTAAAGCACTTTTTAGAAAAGGCAAAGAAGAATGAACAATCGGGGTCACATGAAAAATAATATAATATAAAAAAATAATATAAATAATATAATATAGTATAGAAAAATAATATAAAACAAAAAAACATTTTATATATATATAGATATATAGATATATAAAATTCTAATCCGAATTTTAATTTGGATCTGAATTAAATAATATAATATAGTAATATATAGTGATATAATATAGTATAGTTAATATAAATAAGATAATATAGTATAGAAAAATAATATAATATAAAAAAATAATATTTTATTTATAGGCCTATATATATAAAATTCTGATCCGAATTTTAATTTGGAAAATTGTTTTTTAATTCCAAAAAAATTTAAAACAATCCACTGGACTTTGTTTCCAAGTTTGAAGACATTTAGCTTCCCATCCAGGAAGCTTTTTCAATTCAAAATGTCAGAAATAGCGTTGAGTTCCAGATTTTATACCGTAGCCCATTAAAACCTTGTTTTTGATTGTATGTTTTCAAAACAAAAACAGCCCTTGGGTTAAAAAAATGTTTAAAAAAATATGAAGCTGACCAATAGCTTCTCCCTTATTAAACTGGTACTTTTTTTTAGGCTTGCGACACAATATTGGAGCATGCAAAACACAGATCTGCCTTCACAAAGCCTCCGGAGGGCAGCATTTATTTATTTTCATGAATTTATGTTTTATACGTTTTTTGTATTTTTTTCTGTTGGCATTCATATAAATATACTGGTTTTATAACATATTTGATTGTTTTTTGGTATAGTCTATTTTGAATCAATAGCCACCCCTGGGGAAAACTCCACCAGCCGCCACGGTTCTGATAGAATTTCAGCGAAAGGATTTTTATCAAAAACATAATTAATGTGCACAAATAATGTAAACAGAGTCTTATGGGGGCCCCAGGGGCCCTAGGCAACTGTTGCCTGATGATAGATCCGGCCCTGTGTGTCCCATAAATTGGACCTTCCATCAAAACCTTTCAATCCAAACTAAAATCTGCAGATCTTAAATGAGCAGAATGGGTTTAGAAGGTGCGTGGGTCTCTGTTGAATAACTCACCGCTCGTCAGTTCGTAGCCGAACACGGCCGTGGGCTCCCGGGTCGTGGAGCAGTTCCAGCGCTCCCGGCGGAACTGGTTCTGACACTCTGACACCGCCAGCTGGGCTCCGTCGCGAACGCTGGGCAGCAGGAAGGGCTTCCTGCGGCACAGCTCCCGCTGCCGGGCGCTCAGCACCGGGTCACCGCAGGACAGCTGCTCCGGGTCATCCGGAGGGGTCACACCCAGCCACCTGTGGAAGGCAGCGGCTGCAGTTAGCGCACACATCCCGGAGGAACCAGCAGAACCGGGACATGAACTGAAACCAGAACCACAGCTGACGAAACGATCCGGGTTTGATTCGGATCAGAACTGAATTTCTCAAGAGGTTCTAAACAGTCCCACCAATAAAAGACCCAAATTATTTAATGGATCATTCTGATTAAACCCAGGAACTAATTAGAACCGGTTCCGGAAAAGGTGAATATTTCCAATGAAATTGCAGGTTCGGATTATTTGGGTCAGAACCATCAGAGAACATCACATTAAGCTGCTTAATCTGGTTTAAAGGTTCTGAACTGTTCGGTGATTAAACTCTATTTTGGATCCAGACTGTAAATAAATTCCCCATTCTGGATCACTTAGAGCTGATAAAGTGGCTGTAGGATGGCTCCGTTTAAACGGAACCGATCGGAGTTCTGATGCGTTCCGGATCCTACCTGAACAGGTGGGATCAGAACCTTTATGATCTGATTTCCCAGCAGGTCGGATCAATCCGGACCTCAGCAGAATTTGGTTCTGAAGAGAAAAGTTGGAGGTTCCACAGTTCTGCGTTTGGTTCCTGATGTGAAAGTGGGCTCTGCCGGACCGGTACCGGTACTCACATCCAGTTGGCCCTGCAGCACAGCGGGCACACCGACACCAGCAGCAGCGTCAGGGCGCACATGGGTCGGACTCCAGAACTCCGGGGCTCCATCAGAACTCCTGGGATCCGCGGATCATCCTGGAAGCTGCAGGAAATCCGGTCCCGGTCCGCAAAGATCCCGATGCTCCACAAGTCGCTCCCCTCTGCAGGTCCAGCTGCGGCGAACCGGACCCAGTCCCAGTCCGGCCGATCCTGATTGGCCCAGCTCACCGAGGTGACGTCAGAGGCTGATCGTGATGCGCTGCTGAGCAAACAGAGCGCGCGCGCCAGTGAGAACGGAGGTTCTGTTCATCACACCGACCCAAAGCCAGAAGAACCGGGTCTGATCCATCTAGGATCCAGATAGTTCTGAAGAATTAACCCTAAAAACGAGACAAACCAGGAGGTTCTGACCTGGAAATAGCTTCTAGGGCCAAAGCACACAGAAGTGCTGCTGTGTTTCTGCCTTCTGGTTCTGTTGGAGGATTTCCTCTCTGCTGTAACTACATGTCTTCCCAGAACCTGATCCAATCAGCCCGGTTTCCTTAGATGGAAACTATATAAACTACATTTAACAAACAGAACCTGATTGGAACAGAACCCTAACCCCCGAAATGAACTGGACCTGTTTGTCTTTAGACAACTGTGGTGGATCAGAACCAAGTGATACACTGGAATCAGGAAGAAAAGGACTCCGGAAATCTGAATAAAACTTTATTTAAAACAGGAGCTCAGAACCAATCTGAGAAATTCTGTAGAAAAATAGACAATTATATACAATCAGAACCACCAGACAACCGACCCATTCACAATCAGAACCACCAGACAACCGACCCATTCACAATCACAACCATCACACAACCGACCCATTCACAATCAGAACCACCACACAACCGACCCGTTGACAATCAGAACCACCAGACAACCGACCCATTCACAATCACAACCATCACACAACCGACCCATTCACAATCAGAACCGTCACACAACCGACCCATTCACAATCACAACCATCANTCACACAACCGACCCATTCACAATCAGAACCGTCACACAACCGACCCATTCACAATCACAACCATCACACAACCGACCCATTCACAATCAGAACCACCACACAACCGACCCATTCACAATCACAACCACCACACAACCGACCCGTTCACAATCAGAACCACCAGACAACCGACCAATTCACAATCAGAACCATCACACAACCGACCCATTCACAATCAGAACCACCACACAACCGACCCGTTCACAATCAGAACCACCAGACAACCGACCCATCCACAATCAGAACCACCACACAACCGACCCATTCACAATCAGAACCATCACACAACCAACCCATTCACAATCAGAACCATCACACAACCGACCCATTCACAATCAGAACCACCAGACAACCGACCCATTCACAATCACAACCACCACACAACCAACCCATTCACAATCAGAACCATCACACAACTGACCAATCCACAATCAGAACCACCAGACAACCGACCCATCCACAATCAGAACCACCAGACAACCNCACAATCAGAACCACCAGACAACCGACCCATTCACAATCAGAACCATCACACAACTGACCAATCCACAATCAGAACCATAACACAACCGACCCATTCACAATCAGAACCATTACACAACCGACCCATTCACAATCAAAACCATCACACAACCAAGCCATTCACAATCAGAACCACCACACAACTGACCCATTCACAATCAGAACCATCACACAACCGACCCATTCACAATCACAACCACCACACAACCGACCCATTCACAATCAGAACCATCACACAACTGACCCATTCACAGTCACAACCACCACACAACCGACCCATTCACAATCAGAACCATCACACAACTGACCCATTCACAATCAGAGCCACCAGACAACCAACCCATTCACAATCAGAACCATCACACAACTGACCCATTCAAAATCACAACCACCACACAACCGACCCATCCACAATCAGAACCACCAGACAACCGACCCATTCACAATCAGAACCATCACACAACTGACCCATTCACAGTCACAACCACCACACAACCGACCCATTCACAATCAGAACCATCACACAACTGACCCATTCACAGTCACAACCACCACACAACCGACCCATTCA